TGAATATGATATATGCATCTAAAGAATGAATTTAACTCTTTAGACTACGAGGATTTATTTTTAAAATCTTGCAGCTTTTCCTGAGTAAAATATTTGTTAATAATTCATTATTTTTTATCGTATTTTTTGCCTCCAAATGCTTGACACTGTCACTGTAGTAGTTTTTTCTCGTCTTATAAAGAACAAACAAAGGTAATTCTTAATTCGAATGGATATCGAAATATCGTTCGGAGAATAAATTACGTTGTATCACGTAATAACCAATGATGGAAGTTTGAAAATGATTTGCGAGCGTTAAATAAATTGCAACGCGGTGCGATTAAAACAATTACAGTTTGAACATACATTAAGTAGGATAGAAGTATGTGCGTGTTCATCTTTCTGAGAGATCTATTTATCTCTTAAATATCGATCGCTGATATGGACGCGATATAACCAGGAGAGCTGGTTGTCGATCGTGAATGTCGACGAGAAATAAAAAGGAAAAAAGAAAACGAAGCCGCAACCACGATGGAAGATGACGAAGTCATGAAATTGGATAAGAACGGTATAGGACTTCGGTCGTAGCCGGGGAAACCTTACACTCGTACGTAATCCCATAATTTCGTTGACCGCGTCGTGAACGCTGAAATATCTATACAAATGGAATACGGAGAGGAAATACGGAATTAATATAATTTAAAACCCTTTTAGAAAACATTCGATATTATAAAAGAAAGTATATACTTTGTGCATATATATATTTTTTTTAATATATATGGAATTATAATTTTTAATTGAGCCTTTAAGGATTAGTTTTAGCTTCGGAGAGATTCAATTCTTTCACGGAAAGGACAGTTTTGCTGAAGTATTCAAAAATTTAATTATCTATATAAATAATTTTATTGGATTATCAAAAGAATTATGTAGAACAAGTTAGTTTTGAATTCGCAACTATTTGCAGCGTTTCTCGTCGTGCTTTAATTGTTTTTGATGTTCATCAAAATTATTTTTAGATTTACCTAAGTTTGTAAATATTTTTGCAACATTTTTTTGTCCAAAGAAACGTTGATCACATTTTTTTTGTTCAGTTGCGTATGTCTGCTAATAATAAGTCTCTACTAAAATACTGATTTAAGATAGAATTCGATATAAAATTAATTGCCTTGGTTGTGGCTCGGCGTTGAAAGATGAAAAGCGTAATCGAAATATAAAATAATAAATTTACAAATCAATGCGACGCGATATAAGCGAGCATCGTCGTCCATCCTTAGAGATTCTCACTACTGCAAAATTATAGGAATGACGATAATGATGTCAATGGCACCGTGCTGATAATATCCTGGTTGCTACTAATAAGCGACTTCCTCAAATCGTGCTTTTCTCTGTGTTTCCATGCAAATTACGCGGCCGTAAATAAACGCGCGGTGCATGAGTCGGAGAACTTAAATACATTCTGGATTAGTCTAGCGATTCGCGCGACTAGAATCCGTACGTCATTTTCACTTTACAATCATGAATAACGAATGTCCGTACCGATTATCTCAATGTGTTCATTGTCGAGATTAATTCTTCGACAACGAATAAGTAATCACTAAACAAGTATGCTCATCGATTAATATGACATTCATACAACTTTAAATACATGATAGATATTTTCTTGATCAGATAACGAAAGTAAACGGCAAATAGGCGTTGCTGAAAAATTGAATAAATTATTTACAAAAATAAAATAATTGAGTTAAGTATTGATTTGTTTTTCAGAAATCATACACACACACACACACACACATCTAGAGAGAGAGAATTTTGTTTTATTTTAAAAAATATCTAAAGAGATTCTCTAAGAAAGGCTTAGATATCGTTAAAAGAGCAACAATATATAAAAATTTGAATTTTACGAGAATTGATGAAAGGGGTAAAAATCTAAATTCAAATATACATATATTATTTTGCATTTTCCTGTATAATTTTGCAGAACCTTTTATCAAATTCGTGGATGTGGACATTGCGAGCGTTCTCCGTGAACTGTATTTTACCGGAACCTTGCTCATCACGCGCTATCGATGCGGCGATGCACTTTCTGCCGTGAACGGCAGGCTGGACGTACGGAATGCGAGCGGAACCCGTTTCTATGAGTCAAGCCTGACTATTGACAACGAAAAGAGAAAGAGAGAGCGAAAGAAAGAGACAGAGGTGCCCGCGGCCCACGATAGCCGATCTTGCGGTTCTGGATCGTATAAGCAGGCGATCCAGCGTATCGTGCGGCGGCAAAGGATAAGAGAGAGAGGAGAGGAATTTGCGGGATCGAATCATGTTACGCCACAAAGATTGCCTTCGATAAAGACTCAGGGTACCGTGACGAGAGAGACGAGATGCACGTAGGACCACATTTAACGTGTAATTGGACGACGAGTAACACTGATTTTATATATGTGTAGACAGAAATGTTTTTTTACAACTAGGATAGCACGCGCTTGGTCTTTTACTACATTTTACGTCCGAGTACCGGAAGAAAGTGAAACGATTAATTGTAACACGTGTTTGAGTTTATAGAACAAAGTGGAGAAAAATAATTTTACATCTTAATTTTGTTTTACCTCATAGAATTCATATTAAAGGCAAAAAGTGAACGAACACGAGAAATTTACGTGCTCGCTTTACCTGAACTTCATTTATTGGCATTCTTTATTGTAATGACCTGAATCTGTGACACGCCTGCTCGATTCCTTCTCTACGAAGAATTTATGAAGCCTCGTAACACAATAAAGACAGAATAATAAAATACGTAACTTCGAAACGGTTTTCGTAATGTACGTAAATTTCTCGAATGGAAATTATATAATGTTGATTTTTTTGACGAATGACCGAAACACAACGTCGATCTAGCAAGCAAATCGTTGTGTTTCCTTGAGAGATTGCGTTTCGGAAAACAATTGTTCCGTTCTCCAGATATTTCGGAGTTATTCACGTGATGTAGAAAATACTAAAACATTTTTTATGCGAGCGGGATGGAAATAAAATCCACACCATAAACACGTTTTTGCGACATGTAGGCATTGCGGTGCCAAGTTACAATCGAGTTCATCGATCCGGAATGACAGTCTCTTCGTGGCTCTCAGCAATGACATATTCAATAAAGTATACGAATACATACCGGCCATTTAATCGTCGCGTCGCATGAAATGGGTTGACATGACAATGAAGTTTATTCTTTCTTTTATGTTAATATTTATCTTTTTTCTTTGTTTATTCGATACGTATTGATAAGTGAAGAGAAAGTTACAATCACTGCCTTAATGAGATGTGACAAATGAGCTTGAAATTAAAATTTTAATAATATAAAATTGAAAGAGTCTCTCTCTCTCTCTCAATTGATTTGCTCAAATTTGTCAAAATTATTTATTGTATTTAATTATATATAACCTTTGATGTACAATAATTTAGGACTTACTTCCGCATAGCGCTATTCTAATTAACAGAATTATCGCTCAAAATACACAGGAGAATTTCTAATTGCAATTACATTCTAGATGACTGTATGCCGTTAGGTAAGCGCAGAGACGAGTTCGCGTGACCCGCTCGTGCCGAGTGAGAGGAAATGTATGAACAACGTGCTCCTCCCCCTCTCCCTCTGGGAGAGGCTGTGTACGGTCGTAGAAAGTGATAATAACACGGGTACAGGGTAAATGAAGTATCGATGCAATTGTCCCACGTGAACCATTGCGGACACACGTTGCTAGATCAATCAGTTTTCTCTCGCAATTTGCTTATCGCGCGCGATTACAGACGATTTGTCTTTTGAAATTCTTCGTAATCAGATGTTACGCCTCTCAACCGTATGCTACTTCACGGTGCGACTTTTCCGCGAGTGCAGCCGTGTGGCTAAAGGTCATCGTCTGCCCGGTAAGTGTTACGCGTACCACCGCACGATCTTTCTAATTACGCCGTTGCGTCCTCGGAGCTCCCAATCCTCGACAGCATACACCGTTGCACTGAGCACATTTTACTTGAGATCTGTACGGAATTATTCTAAAATTTCAAAATTTTATTACGAATATTTTTTTCAATAATAGAATGGGTTTTGCTGATTATACACTGCGAAGTCAAGCGTGTAAAACGTGATTTCAATATACATGTGTTAACTAGTTTTCTGTGTAAAAGTGACACTATATTACAGTATATGTTTAAATATGTAAATTCATATATGCAATACAATATTTAGACAACTAATTGTGAAACTCGTGTTGTCATAGTTTGAATAGTCTGAAGGATTGATATATGATATAATGGCGCACTGTCCGAATAATTTATTTTGTGACTATATATACAGAATTATACATATTATACAAAGAATATATAATGCTCTAATTCAAGAAAGTTACACCTTGAAAGGATACACTTATATGATTTGCTCGGAATCGTGAACAAATTGGAATCACAAAACGAGCGTTAAGTGTCGAGGAGCTTTTACGCTTTGATTGAAAAACGTTTGCAAAAACCGCGATAATTTCGATTCCAGAATCTTTTCACGTTACATTCTGTGTTAGTAGCGACGGTCGCGCTTTAAAGCGCTCCGTCACGATGCAAGTGGCGTAAAGTCCGTTAAAACGAAGCTATTCTCTTCTGGTTCGTATTTGAGAGGTGTCACCTACTTTACTTCTTGCTATAATATATAACAATTCGTTTACAATTTCCATTCAGTTGATGCTTTTAATCTGACGATGAGTTATAGTCGTGTATTATACTTATATACTTTCTTAAAACAAAGCTATGCGAAATTTTTTAAATTCCATCCTGTTTAAAAAAGAATTCAACGCGTATGACCAATCATATATTTCGGCTTGCATGAAACTTTTACAGATACCGAGGGAGAAAGAGGGACGTCCGTTTTCTTCGTTACGGGGCAGGGTGTAGATTATACCCCGTATCTATCCTTCTTTTTACGGTCGGACTATTCCGACCGACAGCGGAGAGTTGAACAAGTCAGTCCATTAATTATTTTCTCCGACCTGTTGCAGAGGCACCGCCGGCACCATCTCGGAAGCCATGCCGGCTGACGAGTTCGTGCGTATCCGACGAGAAGACGGTGATAGAAAACCGAGCTTGCAGCCGCCTTAACGCACTGATCGACTGATTGCGTCGTCGTTGATAAAGAAAGAGAACGAGAAAGACGAAGGCCCTTCGCAGGATCGACCTGATCATGCTCTTAGCGAACCCGTTTCCCTACCCGTTGTCATCGTATAGTTCCACGCTGTGAACCCGATATGTGAGAGTCGCCGCCGCCGTCTGGTGGATGCCATCGCCATGGTGGAGCAACTGGTGTGCAGCAATTCGCTGAGTCCAGGAACGTAACGTTCAAACGAGCCTCAGATTCATACATATTCGTTCTATCTTTAAGGAACTAATTGCAATCGAAACGAACGAATGGTAGCTCCGGCTTGAAAACTAACAAATGACACGCCTTTACGTATTTAGAATAAAGAAGGCCCGAGACGACTTTAAAAAGCGATTTATTTTACTACGGGAGTGTTAAGAAAGCAAAAGTAAAATTAGAAGTTCAAATTGATGAATCGCGTATTAATTCACGATAGACTTAGTATAACTTCGAAGTTTAGAAATTTAATCGGAACTTATTCGGAACATTTGCGTAGTGTGAAGAGAGAAGTGATATTGTTCATCACGAAGAATCTAAACTGAAGAGAATCGAGTTCGATGTGTTATGTGTTTATGTGATTTGACAGACAATTAGTTTCGTCGTGAAACATTCAACGTAATGAAGAAAGAAATAACGTCCTCTAATACGACGAATTTAGTATGAGGAAGATCAAAGTTGACATCTACGTGCTATGACACGGTGGATTTGGTGCAATTCAGTACTTTGTTCCGTCACGAGATGTAAGGATTACCGTATCAGGAGAAAAGAGAAGAAGCCTCACTCCGCGTGACACCAGCGTGTCGAGTAATGCTGAAACACATCCTGACGGGGCAGCCGTCGTCAACGGGCTCCAGGCATCATCACAATGATTATCAGACAAGCTCGGGCTCGTTGCACGGCGGACACCACCATCATCACTTGCACAACAGTTCGTTGCACCAGGATCAGCAACAACAGCAACTGCCGCAATCGCAGCAACCACCGCAGCAGCAACAGCAGCAGCAGCATCTTCATCATCATCACTACACCGGAAGCACCGGGACACGCAGCGGTGTCACCGGGCATCGCGGTAACAATAGCGGAATCGACATGTACGATTCCGTGTCGAGACCAACAGCGGCGACGGTGTCGAATGTGCATCAATCGGCGACGACTCCCTCGTCGACACATCGGCATCCGCTGAACCATTCTCAGCTGAGCGTGAACAACTTGTCGCAACGTTTGAACCATTCGCACGCCCTTAACGTATCGACTCTGTCGACCTCCAAGCATTCGGTTAATAGTGTCAGTCCGGTCGGTGGCGTACATGGCAATAACGGTGGCGGTAACAATAATAATAACCATAACGTCTCGGCGAGTCAGTTGGGCCACACCGTAATCTCGCAAACGAATGTCTCGCATCAGGACAGGCCAAAGGCGAACGGCGGCTTCGACATCTCCAGGCTGTCGCGGTTGCCGAGTCAGACTACACCGTCACCCGCACCTGCCGCATCTGCACTTCCTGTTGTAGCTAGCCAAGTAGCTGGTGGGCCGCTTAATGCCTCCTGGTCTTCGTCGCTATCCAGGAATCTCCATCGGCGTGATGAGGCTGGCGTGAAGGAGATGCTAACGAGCCTCGGATTGTTGTGTTTGGTATCCCTACTTTTAGCTCTGTTATCGGTCATCTTCCTACTGAAGATCTCGCCGCTCACAGTCACGTCCAATAGCCTTATCAGCCCGGAGGAATTTGTGATCGTCTACGAGGTCACCCTCGCGTTGTGCGCCCTCGCCCTGTCTCTCAATCTCTGTTGCCTGCTGGTCTGCGCCATACAGTTCCTTTTCGCGGTGAAGCTCGTGAAAACCTCGTATCAGAGTCACCGGTAAGTTGATTAAAATAATTTTCTCTTTTCGATATTCGTGTCTCGAAATATTTTACTAAAATTAGGATTAGAGAATTATCGTTCTCTTTTACTCCGTTATTATTTCGATCTGATATCTCGTAAATGGCGCAATAAAAGGCTTTAATAAGGCTTCTGAAAGGAAGGATTCTGACCGTTAACGGGTTTATCGCGAGACCAACGAGTTTGATGACTAATGAACGACATGAAAAGGACCGATACGAGGCCAATGAGCCAGCCTTGACACGTTGGAATCCAGTTTAATTATTTTTAAGCTCTAATGGGAACCGCGTGACTCCGTGCGAGCAAGCCGAGATCCTTAATTAATTAACGTATATAGTAAGAGAAGGCGATATTCTCTGCGCGCGTTCTATGGCGACCGACTGATTCGGAACGATCGGTGCGCAATAACATCCCATCGTCTCTGTCGTGACCTCTGGGTTCAATACGACGTTACGAAACCGTTTAAAGATCGACTCACACTTGTGCCATAAAATCCGATGTTTGCACTTGTAAGCTCAAGGTCTTTCTATCTATATTTTGTGTTAAAACTATTTATTAATATTATTACTTATGTGATATTACATAATAATAATACAATATATAATTAATTATAAAGAAGTTCTCAAAGACAATTTAATCTCTGTATAATAAGTAATTGATCTAGAAAAAACAAGTTGTTGAGAAAAATATATAAAGTTTATTATAAATATATATCGTGTACGTCCTTTTAAGGAACTGTGATTGATGTCTGTATAGGTAAGTACGATGCGTGAAAGGGGTTTACTGTTAGTTTGGAATATATGACGATCGCTACGATCGGTGTGTCTCGACCTTAACACACGTCATGTCTGTTAAGGTTTTTATCGGTGCCTTTACGTGCCAATGTCGAAACGTCGCGTCGCATCGAGGAAAATTTCGGTCCTTTATACGCTGGTAAAAGGGTACGCATCCTACTCCTTCGTAATCCTCTACTTAAAACGCGTAATAAACGGTTTGTGGTCTTGACCCGGCACATTGCAAATAGCGCCGATATCTTAGCTAATAACCGCAATGTGAAAAAGGAAAGACGAGGGAAGAATCTTTTTACCGGGGAACCTTGCTGCTGTTGCTATTACTTGAATATTATTTTTGACATCCGTGCATAATTATGCAAACCGCGCAATTTCGAACGAATCAGAGACCGCGACGCGATCGTATTTTTTTTCCTTTTTTTAATATTATAATTGTTAAAAATTTTATCACGGTAATTTTATTTGTGCATTTGATATTAGGATTATAAAAGTTTAAAAATAAAATGGAAAGCTGACTGCTAAATTAACTAGAATTTATTTAGCTACTTTTGATTTGAAGATTCAAATACTGAACAAAAAGAGGTACATGAAATTTTTGCAGCTTTAATTATTGAACAAATTTTAGTGCTTATATGTATAATGGATTTATAAAACGTTAAATATATTAAAATTGATTGAAAAAATATTCCAGTTCATAAAGGTTTCTTGGCGTTTTTTGCACTTCATATATTGTTAAAAGTTTCAATCTTTTTAAATCAAAAGTAGATAAATACATTCTAGTCAATTTACTAATGAACTTTATATTATATTTAGTGTTTTAAGTGCTAATTAAACAAGAAAATAAGCGACTAGATATGCAAAAATGTTTATTCCGCAACATCCTGCGAACTTTGCACACAAATACATGTATAACAGCGATTGTTAATCACACAGGAAGCGATGAGACTTATATGTAATAGGATCTATTACGAGGATACCACACCGAGTTAAAGGGAATTCTTCCCGCGGGATCAAGGGAAACGATTTATGCGAATCGAGGCCGTTCGCGGGTGTTCTCGCAGTTTCTTCTCGTACGATCTCACGTCGTCGACATTCACGATCAAGATCGTCCTTACGCGTTGGGACGGAATGGGTTCCCACTCATCCATGCGTGCCCCATCCGTGTACATACGCACTCCTCGAATATACACAGGTGCATGGATCTCGTATCCAACGCACAGGGATCGCCGGCGCCCCCGACAAGATATATCAGTGTCTTACCGTGCGGGCGTTTCTTCTCACGGAGAGAGAGAGAGAGAGAGAGAGAGAGGCGCAAAAATTCACCTTCGCGTTCGCGCGTGTGCGTGTGTATGCTCGCACGAAATTGCACGCGAGAAGAATCAGAGCGAAACGCAAACGCTCTGTGGATCGTAATGTCGCGCCACTCCGAAATTATCCTCGTTAAAGAAACGTGTTGATGCGATCGTCTTCGAAGCGATCTCTCCCGAAGCGTGACTTCTTTTCCTGCTGGGTATTTCGGACACGAACATTTGTGTTGGTGTTGTCACAACAGACACTTAGTAGACGAGGAAATATATGATATATAGAGCAGGAACATCTTACAGAACAAAATGCACGTTTTTTTTTTTTTTTTTTTTAAGAAAAAATGTAATAACATTGTTAATATTTTTTTTGACAAAAATTAATACTGAATATTTAAAAGTGTGGCTAATTTATTTGATTTGTTATTTGGTATATTTGCTTTATATTTGATATTCATGTTATGTGTATATATTTTTTCGCAGTATATATATTTGAAAGAAAATATTTATTTTAGGAATCATTCCGAACAATTCAATCTTACTCTAATGATCTTATGATTCGGTTTGATTTTATTATTTCTTTTTTTGTCGATTTGTTGGCAAAGACGTTTGTGCGATGGGATGGACTATCAAAAATGTAATGAACGCATACGCAGTAATAGAATACGTAAGAGTTCATTTCGCCGCAGCGGAAAAGGACGAGGAAATCCTGAGTTGGTAAAGTCGTAGAGCAGGTAGATGGCCGTTAATAACCACCTTGAGAATGAATAAGGAAAACAAAAAGAGTGCAGGAACGCACAGGATAACTTCCTCTCGTTTCTCTTGCGGTTTCTACTCGCAGTAATGCACCTTTCATTGTTAGAAATGTCCAAATAGACTGGCGAAACACGATTAATATATTTTCTTTTAAGCGCTCTGGACTTGTTCTTTAGTCATATAAGTAGATATACACATATAAGAGATTATCTTAGCCATCTTTTTTTTAAATTTATTTTTATTACAACTATGTGTAACACAATTGCTATGTAAATGCATTTCCATCTTTGCATGATACAGAAGATTAATTGTCTCAAATATTTTATTGAAACATGGCGGATGTTCCCTTCTTCTTTTATCAATTGCAATCGTCGATCTCATCTCTTCCACTTTTCAATTTCTTATAAAGTTTCCGTTTCTAAAGTATATTTAGGGAAAGATTGTATGTTACAAAGACCTATATGAAACCTAAGAGTTCCAAAGGAAATCTCAGCGCTAAGACGGAAATTCTTCGGATAACTGTGACCGAACGGTTGGGATCTTCTCCGAAAATATTTACGCACTAACAGAGACATAAATAGTTTGTTCCGGGAAGACAAAACCTGTTTTAATTAAGTTTCGTCATCGACAACGTTCAAAATCTTTATTAATTTTAGAGATTATAATTTCTCCATTGATTTTCTAATCTAATCAAATTTCTTGATCAATTTTTTCCAATAAGTATAAAAATACGTATGCCTAATATAAGTAATTATAAATATTTTTTAAATATACGTATCTTCTTCAAATTTTATAAAATAAGTATAATAAATATTAATAAATTATTGTTGATATAAATAAGGAAGTAATTAATAAATGATCTTTATAAAAAATTTATAAATTATAGAATATGCAAAATATTGGAAAGTTGTTTTGTCTTCAATTATATGTAATTGATTAAAATTTTTTTGTGAAGTATAAAATAGCAAAATCTTTCGAAATTTGAAGAATCTTTTTCATCGGTTTTTCGTGATTCAGTATGTGCATATTACAAAATATGTATATAGAAGAAATATTTTTTTATCAATACGATGTAACGCATAGTATATAATATTAAAAGTATGTATATATATATATATATATATAAAATATCAAAAATGATATTATATAATGTGGAAGTTCTTTGTATTCTTGGATTAGTGAAAGCGGCAGACAGACACATGCGGACGGAAGACTGATAAGGTGTAACAATGCTTGTATGCATAATAAACCGAATGTAGGTGACGGGTTAACGGCTTCTTTCTAAACAATGTTCTGTGCCAACTGATAAGTGCAACGATCGATCAGAACACATGCTATTTTTGTCTCGCACTATCACGAAACCTTATAGCTGTATAACTCTACCTCTATATACTTGGGCTCGTGAAAAAATAATCAACTGCAGCTCTTGAATATAGGTGAATAGGAATTCATAAACAACGGCCGGAAACAACACAAATGTTTTTTTTCAATCTTTTTCAACGAAGAACAAACAAATTTAATTAAAGGAAAATTTAAATTTAAATTTAACTTATATTTAAACAGAATCTTATATTAATTAGACTAAAGTCTATATAAGATATATTCGATAAGACTATATAAGATTCTGAAACTTTTAATAGTCCATATTTATATATAAATGCAAATTTGATAATATTACGTTACTAAAATTAAACAAATTTACTGAGATAATGACACAAAGTAAATTTTAAGTTAAGTACTTTATTCATATTTTTTTTTGTACACAACAAAAAATTAATGTATGCCGTTTTGATCGACGATCGTTCGAAATTAACTCTGCGTTCTTGTGCGTAATGCTTTGGTTGTGAGACCTATACCGAGAAATCTGAGCTCGGCTGCTGAACAAATACAAACAGACGTCGATAAGGAATGTTCCTGCCGTAAAAATTAGTCAGGTGCCATATGCTAATTTGATCAAAGCATATTAGCTATTTGCACTTTTAGGCTGTATTTGTTAGCATTAATAGAAACCAATATTATTAAAATTGTCTTACCTGTCGTTACCTTTTCATTTAACTTCAATAATATATAATTAATCGTATAATGTATTCTCTCATTAAACTAGAAAGCAGGTTCGATCATTATCAATTGC